CCTAACACTTTAGTAAATATTAATCTGATTATGGACTTAGTATTAATTACAAATATTTTCTTTTAAAATTTCGCAGGCTCGAAATTGATTCTAGAGCTATGGTCTAAAGGGCTTTTTTTCTTAGAATTTTATGTAGAATCCGAATCTGCTAGGAACGATGTCGAAAAAAAAATTGACCCGCCCTAGTGAACATACTTAGTTTTAGTCTGTGGAGAAAGCTTTCCAAGAGGAACATTGTACAGCCTTTCTATATAGAGTTCACTAGATTTTCCTAACAGAAACTGGGTCTGTGAAATATAAAGGTTACACAGCGCATATCTAAAAACCATGTTCATTTCCAAGAGAGACAATTTGTACAGTTAAACATTTTAAGGTATTCAGCTGTACGTAGCCTTGAATATAAAGTATTTTCTGTGCACCAGGAATTTCTGCTTTGGCGGTTATAGCTTGAGCACAGAAGTATTGAGTTTTAAATAAACCAAAAAAGTTGTTGTTGTAACCACAATACCATGTAGCTCTTGTTAATGAGATACCCATGTATATATCAAAGTATATTTTTGGTACCCGTTAAGCCTAAGTATCTTCGCGATTATGAACTTTTTTATTTGCGTTGCCACTTTAAAAATCGCGCAGATGAGTAAAGCGCCCGCAGTATCAGCGGCCTGCCGAGAGCTACTATGGTAACAACAACAACCTCTTAACTATACCTTCTTCATCCTCGGATTCGGAGTTTTCAGAATCTGAGCTATCCTCAGAAACACCATCAGTTTGCATTGGATTTATTGTAATTGTCAACGCGGAATCATCCCAAACCAAGCCCTCGTCGGCAATCTTTAGGTATAAAAAAATAGTTAATGTTTCAGTTAATTTAACTCTAAAGTCTAGAATTTACCTTCCAACCAGGCTGATGACTATCCACATACTTCAAGCTATTATTTTTCAAAACGGGCAATGGACACACCGCATAATAGTATCACAAAAAATACGCATATTAAGATTATTAGCANCACTTTTTAGTTGCCACTTTAAAAATCGCGCAGAAGAGTAAAGCGCCCGCAGTATCAGCGGCCTGCCGAGAGCTACTATGGTAACAACAACAACCTCTTAACTATACCTTCTTCATCCTCGGATTCGGAGTTTTCAGAATCTGAGCTATCCTCAGAAACACCATCAGTTTGCATTGGATTTATTGTAATTGTCAACGCGGAATCATCCCAAACCAAGCCCTCGTCGGCAATCTTTAGGTATAAAAAAATAGTTAATGTTTCAGTTAATTTAACTCTAAAGTCTAGAATTTACCTTCCAACCAGGCTGATGACTATCCACATACTTCAAGCTATTATTTTTCAAAACGGGCAATGGACACACCGCATAATAGTATCACCAAAAATACGCATATTAAGATTATTAGCATCGTCGGGTGTGAGCTTTCAGCTGAAAATAAAAGAAAAACTAATGAAGCCTTGTTTTTTCTCGTATGCTTGTACATATTTATGTACATATATCATCGCTTCTCTCTTCTCTTTTTATAACCTCTAGTTTCTCCTTGCCTTCTTTATACTATCAACCAAGATTTTTACCTCCTTGCTGTGATTTTTTAACAATTTCTCTATATCTGTCTTTTGTTCTATAATATTCATTTTGTTAGCCTCAGCAATACCTATCATTTCTCTCAAAGCTTCATCCACATTAGCTATGTAAATCATGCAGTTGTCGCACATGAAGCGCAAAAG